AACACACTTTTAATTGACTGAGACACCACGGAAGTCTTTGAGGGAAAAAACTTCACCAAAGGGTAAAAAAAGCAACAAAAATCAAGCAGATATACACAGGAAGTGTGATGTGCTATTGATGTTTTCGGATCAATTAGTCTTTAATTAGCAATATGCTTTGAGTCAAATTAAATAGACTGCCACAAGTAACCTGAAGCGAAGCAATTGAGCTCCATCTCCACAGAAATTAAGTTTGGAAGTGGAAAACTACAGCTGTCTATTTTATTGAACCAGAAGGATGAACGCAGGCACTGGAGCTACAGATCTCTCATATACACACACATATACTTTACACACATATTCTTTCTCAAATGTAAGGACTTCTATGAGAGAGAGAAAAAAAGCTTTTTCCATTTGTGTGAGAGCCCTGCTGTCAGATTTAAGATGGTAATAATGGGATCTCACTGCGAGCCCTCAGAGAAAGTTTAACTCAGACGTAAGATGCGGGCTGGAATAAGAATCCTGCTATAGAGAGCCAGCGAAGCCAGGTGGCACTTGCAGGTGAACAAAGACTGGACTAATATCTCTCCAGATATCTTTCCTTCGGTCTCCACAAGGACGCGTTTGAGGACACAACATAGAAAGTCATGTACTGTACCTCCAATAACATCCAAAATGAAGACAAAAAGTGCTATCTAACCGAACAGCTTCATTTTGACAAGTACTTCAGAAAAATACTGTTTTTTTTTTTGTTTTTTTTTAAGGACTTTGTGCGTTCTCTGGGCCGAATCTTTTTCTTTCACCACAGGAGTAGATTAAGATTATTTACGCCTCAGTTCATATGAACAACTCTCATTCATTGCATTGGATGAGAACCAAAAGAATAATGTAAAGTCTCAATACCAGAGAACAAACAGCTTTTTCCACAGCTCTCAGCCGAGACAGTCCGACATAAAGGGCTACTGTTTGATTTCGAATAAAAGAATAATAAAATCGCTGAATAGGGTGACAGTAGGACACATTTTATCCCCAGGCACTTACGGCTTTGAGGTCAGACTTGAGGGCCAAAGTAGGCACAAGTCCAATAAATGAAGTCTTATAATATAGCAGCATTTAGCAGAATGAGGGAGTTGCGAAAATCTAAATTCATAAATATATATATATTTTTTAAAACAGTAATTGAATATTAATTAGTATCATGTTAATTTTTTATAACTTTTTAGAATACAGAGAACTAAACATAAAATATATTTGTAAAAAAGTATATAATTGTAATTTATTGTAAATATATATAAAAAATATATATTTATTTTTTTAACTGGCAATGACATATTTTAATATGAAAATTATTTATATTTAAAAAGAGCCAAAAGTGAAAATAAAACTTTGTACTAAATAAATGTACTTTGTATTTTCTCATGAATTATTATGTGAATTGTGAATTAATCTCTCAATATGAAACATATTCATTTCATACAATAAATAACTAAAAGTAAAATTATAATTATATAAAATACAGTGGAGATCAAAATTAGAGAACAACCTATAATTTCCTCAATTTCAAGGTCACTGCTTAGTCCTATTTGAAGTTATTCTAACAGGAGTAGAAGGGCAGTTTTTTAAGCATATTTCTTTAATTAATTGTATTCTGAAGCACAGAATAAAAAACAAAAACAAATGAGATATTTGAAAAAAGAACTCCGATCAAAATTAGAGAACACTTACAAATACCTCCAAGTTATTGGTGTTAATCTGGTGCTAATTTCCGTAATTATCTGACAAACCCTATTTGACTGGTAGCATTCCTCAAATTTTCACTGGGATTGCAAGATGGGGGGGGGCCTCTCTAAGGTGACTGAAACCCTCCGACAGCAGGTTGTCCAGATGAAGGCCAAAGGGATGACCCTTTCAGCCATTGCAAGAGAAGTCGGTCTTTCTAAATCTGTAATTTCTCAAATATTGCTGGTTTACAATGACACTAATTCATTCAAGCCCCCCCTAAAAGGCTGGTCGTCCACGTTAAGACAACTGCATGAGAGGACAGGATAATGCAGAGACTCTCAATGGGGAATCGGTTCAACAGTGCAGCTGGAATTGCTTGCCAGTTCAGCGATGAGCAGGGTAAGGATCTGTCTCGGCACATTTAAGAGAAGTCAGATTGAAAGCGCACTCTGCAGTGACGAAGCCTCTCATCAGCAGAAATAATCAAAAGGCTAAGCTCACAATTGCTGAGGAACAGGTTGTGGAGAGAGGAGAACTGGTCCAAAGTTCACTTTAGTGATGCAAGATTAATTTTTTTGGGTCTGATGGGAAACATTTTGTTCGGCCAAACTGAGGAAAGACTGAAGCCCAAGTGCAGAGCCCTGATCTAAACCCGATTGAAAATCTCTGGAAAATCCTTGGCGACAAAGTTATGGCTAAGAAACCCACTACAGTCGTGAAACTGTGGAAGAGAGTGGAAGAAGAGCGGACCAAGATCACACCAAGCGCAGTGTGAGAAACCAGTGATGTTCTGCGGCCGCAGATGTACTGAAGTCATTCAAAGCAAGGACCTCTACACTTCCTACTAATTTCTGAGAGCTGTAACCCTCCAAAATTTTTGTTGTAATCTTTTTTTGTGCTACAGTGGTTACTGTTCTCTCATTTTGATCACTGTGTTTTCCACAAAATAAGATTTTTTTTTTTTTTTTCCTCTAGTTATTTTGTAAAACGTGTTAGTAGAACAGTGGTATACCCACAGCTGTTATTCCTTCAAATTTTGAGCGATGAAGATTAACAATATTTAAAATTTAAATACCACTGTACATAGAATTTTATCAAATTAAATTTTCTCATAAATCTAACTATTTCACACACACACAATAAATAAACAAACATATAGCATGTCTATAAGCACAATAGCATTCACTGCCATTTATGTTAAACAATAATTAAGTGACTAAAGAATTTAAAGAAAATGCCAGATGCAAATTATGCAACCTAATATTCACAAGTACCCAACAATAAGACATGACTCATCAATGTATGCTTTATATTCTTGTAAAAAAGAAAGTATACTGATATTCTTTATTTTTGGAGTCTGAATAACAGGGTACAAGCATACCCAAGCACAACAATCATCTTCCTGTAATGTGCTGGAGACCCAAACAGCCGGAACGAGTCGGATCAAGCTGGAACTGGCAGCCGGACTTCTTTCAGCACCATACAGAGCTCTCCTCCCTCCTCCATTCTCTTGCTTAATTCCACATCCGTTTACGTTATCAGCTTAATCTCAAATTAATTCGCTTTGTTAAAAAAAGGATTGAGAGTTCTCGCTTTCTGTCAACAAGAGTGGGGTGTAACAGACGGAAGAGGGTGGGAGGGTATAAAGGGATTGTTGGAGAGAAGAGACTAGGGTAGCGGTTGTAAAACGCGGTAGAAGGGAGGGGGGGG